CCCCCTTTTTATTTTTGGATACAGAAATCCCTCTTTTTTTCTTTATGTAAGAGTTCCCTTCCAACCTATATTATTCCGTGACTCTACTTTTTCTTCAAATGCGTGCCATTTTCTCTTTGTTTAAATGCTAAAGTATTTGAGCTGCCCAACATGATTTTAGTTGGAGCCTTCAAAATTAGGAAAGTGGAAGAGATGGAAGTCAGCGAATGCATTTTGAAGAGAGGCCGTCAAACATTAGTATGCTAATATTTATTTTGCTTTTAAAAGGTATTTGGGGCAACTGCGTGAAACGGTTGGATTGAGCATGTTTTTTCCTAGTGCAAGGAGTTTTATTTATTTATTTTATTTATTTTTATTTCCTCCTTTGGCAGCTCACTGTGCTGATAAATGTGTCCACGGTCGGTGTATTGCTCCAAACACCTGTCAGTGCGAGCCTGGCTGGGGAGGACCCAACTGCTCCAGTGGTAAGTTCTCACCTGCTTCTGCCCGTCTTGTGTGCTTTTCCCAGCGTTGTTCTCCCTTTTGGGCAGATTACCTTTGATTCCTCTGCTCAGGATCCTAGTCGAGGGGCTTGGACTGTGTTATCAGATTAATCTGCATGACCTGATTTTTTTTTCTTCGTTTACTTTAAAACGTCACCGTGCGCCAGCACTAAAAATTGTGAGCTGTTTTGTGCTCAGAAACATGCTGGATAGTCCAACGTTAAGTATACAGATAAAAATACATTTGAACTGTAAAATTATCTCTATTTTATTTTTTTTATTTTTTTCTGTGCACAAAGGATGATGGTGCAAGGTCATGTTTAAAAGCTACGAGCAAAGGCTTCCTTGCAGCCACATGGCACAGTAGGCAGGGATGGGTTAGCGCCTTCCATTTGGTGTATGGGGAAGCCAGTAGATGATCATGCTTAATAAAAAAAACTATGAAGACTGAGGCATTACATACTTGGTACAAGAACAGTGCAGAATATCAAAAACATCAAGTGAAGTCCTGAAATAAGAGCTGGCCTTTTAGTCATTGCAACTTTCTAGATTCTCGGAGAATAGCAACCCGGCGCTGCAGCCCCAGCGGCAGGCTGCAATACAGCCATGGTGCCTGATGGAGGGTCTTGTTCTGCTGCGCATGCAGAAACTGCTCAGTGGCAACAGTGGCTTCTTTGCATAGTATCCCTCCCTCTATCAGAGGGAATGATTTGTGGAGGCTATGAATTGTTGCCTCTCTCTTGCATCTTTTTCTTTCCGTTATCTGGAATACAGAATTTCTCGGAATAATTTTTTTTTTTTTAATATATAATACATTAGTTACTCCATCTTTCTGTTCCTGTATGTATGGTCTTTGGAAATGTCATCTTCAGGCTAACATTGCAGCCATATATGTCATTACAGTCAAGTTCAAAGTAGGTCACTGCTAGTGACTATCCATTTGAAAGGGGTTTATTTTAGCCAGTGATTAAAAAAAACTTATTTAGAATTTAAATTTCACAGGCCATGTAAAAGTCTATTCGCAAGACAGAGCTGATGGTCTTGCAAAGACAATTGGCTATCAGTTTCTTTAGTATAGCATTTCTGTAAAAACAACAGCTGGAAACCTAGATCATCAGCAGGACAATAATTTTGGTTTATAGTACCCTGTTTTCAGTTGCAGTTGTTTTTCTGCTTAATTCAAAACAGGGAAATGTTCTTTTTTTGAAAACAAAATGCTCTCATAAATTTTATGGAAGTGATCTCTTGCTTAGGTAGCTTATTTTGTGAAATATAAGAGTAAGTGGGGAAATATTAATAAACTACATGAAGATGAACTTACCATGTTAAAAATGTTACATTTGGTAAGTGGACTTTGTATACTTAAATATGATTATTTTCATACACAGTCCTAAAGAAACAGCAAGTATTGTACAAAGTGAGGAACTGTAAGCGTTGATAATGCAGTGCTACTGTAATGCTGATCTTAATCAAGTGTGCTGAATTCAGTCAATGGAAGTTGCATGTTACCTTTCTCTCTGAGAGCCTTATGAGTTGAGTTCCTCTGTAGCTAACCAGATATATAGAGGAAAAGTGTATTACTGTGCAATGTAGGATGAGGAGATACTATTTATGGAGATCTCCGAGTTCTGAACTCCCTGAAAGGGCATTTTACATAGGACAGGAATCTCCAAAGCTTTCTTTGGAAATAATCCTTCCTCTCACAGGATTTTCTTGTCCATTTCCCTCACCTACGTGTTATAACTCATTTTGAATACATGTGCAGCCCTTTTCCTGTGCTTCTTCCTCAGTTCACTGCCTTTGACTGCTTGTCCCAGCAGCCTCAATTAAAAAAAGTACTTTCTGATGTGTATACACGACAGGCCAAAACTGAAAGAGCCTTTGTTCACGTGCCTTTGAACAGTGTCATCTCACGAGAGTTTTGCGGTCCTCTAAAAGGTCTGCATGGCATTAGAGGTAACTGGAACTGCAGAAAATTGTTGCAGTTTGCTAGTGTAGTGCTAGGAGAAGGAAGGTAGACTAAGGAGGAAGAGGATATTTTTGTTCATATGTTACAGGAAGATTCGTTTTGGAATTTGTCACGTTTCCATGCGGGCAAAACTGCAGTAAGATGTTATGTTTGTTACATTTTCCTGCTGA